AAAAAAAAAAATGGTTTATTTCAAAATATCTTTTAAATATGATGAAAAACTTATGGTCCGTGTTTCATCTGATTTCTCAGTGATGAATTTAACCTAAATTATTCTGACTATAGATTTGGTGAATATTGAATTAAATATACATCCAACTTATATTTAATTAATGTCATGTTATAGATTTGAGTAAATCATGTCAAAATTTCTTGTATAACAGACATTGACCATCTTTTGAGTTGCGTGCTTACTTTTAACAGTAATAACTTCCATAGTAAAAAATTAAGTATACATTAATATCAGCAATGTATTTTATTGAAATTTATATAAGTAGAATACGGTTTATTCAACTATGTATTATTTTTCTGTTTTGATTTGATATAATTTATTGTAAAAAATAAACTACTGTTTATGTTATTATTTTTCTTAATACAATGACTTATGTTTAAAATCAGCTTATTTCATATTTTTATAATTGAACTCTTTTTAGAAATAACAAGGAATTTTTTCACTTTTTTTTTATTTGTTTTCATTAAATTCAAGATCAAACAATAAAATAAAATTATTTTACTCTGATGATTTAACCAGTGAGTTTGCCCATATGTTTTACATTTGTGTTATATAGGTGGTCAAACTTAATGATGATTATTTGCTAATAATAATATCAATAAATACTTAAACATGAAATTTATAAATCCTTTTTTTTGTTATATTAGATGTTATCGGTTACTGTACGTAGTGATTTGGCACCTATGATGTGTCGATTTTTGAAAACTGATTATGAATGGAACTGGCGTTTTCGACAAAATTTCTGTGAACAATTAGCTGAGTCTTTACACTTATTTACACCACTTGATATGTATCATCATATACATGAGGTTTGCTTGTCCTTACTCATGGACAGAATATCATCTGTTCGCCAATCTGCTTTATCACTGGTAATAAATGATTTTCTTTACTTTTACTCAATCTTGAAAACTAAATTAACTGTGTTTTTGTTATTAGGTTCCTGAATTATTGGTGGTACTTAATAAAAATCTTAGTTTAAAACGATTGATGTTGAATGAACTAGTTACACGTTTTGGACGAGCAGACTTGTGGAGTAGACGACAAATGTATGCTCAAATATGCTCTTACATATTAAACTATGGTGACCGGTGTCTGTCTACAGCAGATTTCAATAATGAATTAATGCCTTGTTTGCTTAACTTGGGTTCTGACCGCGTACCAAATGTTCGATTAATGGTTGCCAAAACTCTTTATACTCAAGTTATAAATAACTGTAAGTAAAACAAAAGGCAATAGGGTTAAAATTAATTTTATACTTAAAATTTATATTTATTACAGCGGTATTTATGGATTTACAAAATCCTCAGCATAATGTACTCACTGAAACCCTTACGAGGTTAAGAAGAGATGAAGACCGAGATGTTCGTTATTTTGCTGATAGCAACCGGGGCTTTGGTATTAGTGCTAATTAATTTATATTTATTTACATGTGCGATCACTTTTATATACTTATAATTTTATAGCAACAGTTATTCACAATAAAGTTTATTCAAAAATGGCTGTGCCAACTTATGCATAATATGAAAAATAAAAACTTAATATGTTTATTATTTATAAAAAAAAAACTTTTATTATTTTTGTTATTATTATTATTATTATTAATGTATTAATTGATGTATACATATATTTCGATTAATATATATTCAGATGAATAACATTTTATTTTTGCAATATAATATATTAATGTTTTTATTATTGACCAATCTATGTTCCTACTGAATAGTTTTTTTCCTTTTACTTCGTTATACATAAAGCCACATAGTATAAATTATATGTTTTCAATCAAATGAATGAACCAAGGATTCAACTAATAAAAATTGGAAATTATTAAAATAAGGAAAAATGTTTCAATCAAATTGTTTGAAAGAATGTAATTTTACAAGATATCATTATCTGTTTAATATACACAAAGTTTATAGACTTATAATATAAAAGAATAAAAGTAATGTATACAGGGTTACCCACTGTGTTTTCTCGTGTTTTTATGTTAATTAAATGATAAAACAGGAAAACAATGAATGTAACACCCTGTATAAATGTACATAACCATAAATAATAATTTGTAAAAAAAATGGAAGAGATCACATCAAAATTAACTGACTAGGGCTATTGCTGTGGCTGTTGCAGGAATACTTCCCTGAAACCTGTCGATTAATTGACGACAAACTGGACAAAGTGTTAGTTGTTGTGCACAGTTTTCACAATAACCTCTGAAACAAACAACAAAAAATATACAAAATTAATAAAGAAATAGCTGTATGTACTGTTCTATTGATACATATGTGACAATTACTTTAGCCAGTTAGTACTTATCTAAAATAGAATTTAGTTATCTGTAGGTAAATGCCAATTGTATTACTGTTTACAATTGCAGGATATTATTAATAATAATCCTTAAATTCATGAATCAAATTGTTATACAAACCCCAGATCTATACAAACAAACTAAAAAAGTACAACTTTTTCCAAAAGTCATAAAAATTTGAACCTACCAGAAAAGACCTAAAATATTATATAAGACCTTTAACTAAGTATGTAAGCTAATAAAATCTGATCCGACTTTATACAATGTCAATATAGTATGAATATAAAGATATGACTTAGCCAAGTGCTTGATCTGAATAAATATTTTCAATCGGTCCATTTCATTTTTAACGCATAAAGAAAATAAGTTATGAACAAGAAATATATAGCAAAAATTTTTAGGACCACATACATTGATAATATTTTAAAATGTATTATTTACTATTATATTAATTAAATTTTATGATAGATTACGATACTTCTTGTACTTATATTAAGTCTTGGGAGATAAGAATTGTAGAGACTAATATTTTTATTGAGGATTCATGTGAGTACCAGACCTGTGAAATAAAAACTATTAGTTCAATGTTTTTAGTTTAAAATCTTACCCAAATACTAAAAAAGTATCAGTTACAGTAGTGTATAAATCTTGCATATTCTTATAAAATATGTAAAAATGTCTAGGCCCCTAAAGCCGAAACTTTATTAGAAAATTATACTTGCAAATGTATTGTTTCCATAAAATAAGTAAAATGAAAATATTAAGTATACCTTGAACTAAATTGCTTATTTTGTTGTCTTAGAAGACCACACCCACATGCATGTCTTACATATGTATAATGTAACTAATTAGCATTCAGTAGAACGATTGTGTTGCAAGCTTTAATACTAGAGTGTAATTCACTAATTTATCTATTATCAAAGATAAAGGTTAGAACATAATCAGAAATATAACGTAATGTTTTTTTAAATTTTTGCACTAAATTTGAGCATTTTCAATTTGTAATATTTTACATACTCTTACCTTCTTAAAAATTAAAATATTGAAAAAAATCTATCACAACATAACTGGTAATGTTCTAACTTTTAGCTTTGATAGTTGGTAAATTCATTCTAATCTTAAAACTAACAACACATAATCTTCTCAAGTGAATGCAAATTTGCTGTTGTATAAATGCAAGACAAATATGGTGGTTTTTTAAAAAAATGTAACACAAATCCTTTTTTTAAAACATTGAAATTGTATATTAATAACTACTGTGAATTAATTTCTAATTTGCTAATCTTCAATAAAATATTAATTATATTAGGTATTTAAGACAAATATTATTTTTATTAATTTTTCTATAATATGTAATTTTTACATTAGGATCAATAGATTAATTCGAACAAAAAAAAAAAATTAATTTTATTGAAAGCAAATTTATTTTGTCTTATTATACAACACCAAAGAAATGTAACTTTATTTTATTTTTTTATTTTAATTGGACTTTTTTTGTATTGGAAAATAAAATAAAAGTTACCTATAAAATATTGATATTTATTCTTTAAACATCGATCTGAACAGAATTTAAGTCTAATTTGGACAGCAAGTGGATAATAGATCCCAAGCCAGTTTATTTATATGATTTATTAGACTGAACATTTTTTTTTTTTTATAATTTAATAAGTTTAAATAAATGTAAACAAGACTCAATATCGTTAAACAGTGTGCATAAGCAGTTTAAACACATTTCTAAATATGTAAGATAAGATACGAATTTTGACTGATTATAAATAAATTATTATTTAGATTAACTATTTCTAACAAATAGTTTTGAAATAAACTATGATCTATATTTTTCAGTAAATAATAAAACAAATTAAATAAAAACAGGAATCAATTGTCAGAACAACACCCAACCTAACATGAATACAAAAATACTAGACAAACCAATAATATACTGCAAAATTGGATAAATTCTATAACTTTCTTTAACTCTAGCATAAGTAACAAGTTAGAACTAATAATTAAAGAATATAAAGTTAAAATGATCTAAAAATAAGTAATATCAATATTTTTAAAAAAAGTCAGCACAATAAAAAAATTAAAAACATAATTTGTCCAAAACAACTAAAATTTATTAAGATTCACTCAATAGTGATCTCTTAAAAAATTAATCTAAAGATAATAAATACTTCTAAAGTACTTACTCATGTTTACATGGGTATAACATAACATCAGCTTTATGATCAAAACAAATTGTACATGAATCTTCATCAGCTGTCTGCTTGCCCAACAAACCTAATAATCCCAGTCTCATTTGCCTAAAAAAAAAAAATTAATAATTAAAATTCATTACTCAGATAATTATTTTTATTTAGATACTTTGGTAAAATTGTTTTTTCTTTTTCATCTAATGTTCCATAATCATTCATGATACTGAACTTTACTCCTTTAGGTGGATATTTGAATGGTTTGCTACCAAAGTTAAAACGACTTTGTTGAAATGTCATAAAACTGGCTGCAGCAAAAAACTCTGACCTATATTTGTATAATAATTAAAACATATTTAACATTTATTTTTAAATACATATGATATATAGAAGAATTATTTTCATACTTAGCATATTGAAATATTTTATCATTAAATGCTACAATTTGACCATTTAGGTAGAATGTTGCAGTTGGAGATGGTTTTTCAACTTGTAATAAGCAACCAACTGTGTCACCTTCTCGCCATGGCCTTCCAGATACACAACTTGTACATCGAGCGCCATGCCATACTAGTTGTCTGCAACCATCGTAGGCTACTGAATATTCATCATCACCTATACCATAACCTTCCTAAAATGTTTTATTTATATTAATTTGATATGTGTGATGAAATATATATAAATTTACATGATTAACGAATTTTGAATTTCTAGTTGACCATCCAATTTGCATAACACCAGAAGTTAATATTGTAACTTCATAGTACCAAGTGCCTTTGTCGATTTGGAATGTACAACGAACACTTTCGAAACTACAAGCATCACATCTAGCCTAGTTTAAAAAATGTATGAGATTGTGTAGGGATATATATAATTATTCAAAATATTGTTTATACTTCTAAACCAGAAGGACCCAGTTTTAAATACTCGCTAGCATCTTCTTGATTTAAAATGGCATTCACACCTTCCATAGAAACATTTAAATATGATGATGTTCTTTGATCATCCACAACTAAATAAAAATCATGATAAAATATTATTTTATTAAAATAAATATAAACATTATATCTAAGTTTTACATATATTGTCTAGTAGCCATTCAGCACAAAACCCAACTTGAGCGTAAAATGGTTGATCAGAACCTGTCAACCTTTCAAATATTGACAACATAGCCAAAGGTCCAGTCTTCATAAAAGTTTCAATTGTAAATCTGTTTTCTCCTATAAATAAAAACGGGAAATTAATAAATTACAGAACTATTAAAAATAGAAACACTTACTTATTTGTGCAAATTTTTCAAGTGCAATTAATGAAAATAATATAATTGATGGATGTACTTGTAAATCCTGGAAACAAAATTCACTAAATATTCAACAATATTTCTTTTATATACATTATATAGTATGTAATACTGATGTTTTTTAGTATTACTCACCATGTTATTAAAAAGATAAGTCAATGTATCTTTAGTTAATAAAGCAATACTTAAAGGTCCAGGTAACTTGTCAGCAAGTATACCTAATATTACACAAATGTTACGATGTTGGTCAACTGTTTTACGTTTAGGAGTTTTATTTGACAAATCTAACATTTGTGATAATTTCATTACAGTATCCTAAAATAAACAAATATGTATTTTAAACCAAATTAATGTATTTATAAATAAATTAAAAAAATTTTTTTTTTTACTTTGTCGGGTAGAGGGCAATCGTCAAGAATAACAGTTATAAGAGCTGGACTTAGTGGATCATCAAGGGGAATGACATGAATCATAGACAATACCACTTGAATCCAACCATCGCCATCATCAGCAACCCAATGTAACTTACGCAATGCTTCTGGAGCTTCTGTACCACTATAAAATAAAATATGATTAAATAAAATTCTAATAGATATGTTTTTCATATAAATTTTATTAAGCTTAAATCATTTTAGAATAGGAAAATACCTTTGCTGAGCTTTTTCCTTTTTTCAGTTCCTAGTTATTATTTTATTTTTTTCAAATAAATAAATACATTTTAATTACTTAATTGCCTAAATATAAGCTTATTGAATGGTAAAAAGATTAGGCAATTATAATTCAAAAAATCACGCTTTGGAATTGTATAATTAGTTTTTTTACATAAACTACAACTTTTTTAATTTTTTTTATATGTTAGGGTTAATTTACCATCAAGACTACTATAACCTAATATTTTGATAGAATAAGTTTTTGAAGATCTTACGAAATTAGCAAAAACGACATGTTTTGGGTTGATACTTATACTATAATGTAAAAAGTTTAATGTTTTTGATTATTTGTGATAATATTAATTTTATTTACAGAAAAGGGTTATGTTATAAGCCAATTATAGATACTAACTAAATCCAAATTTTTCTAAGGAGTATGCTATGAAATTTTTAAATTTCTTAAAAGTATTCAAATTATACATTTTACATTTGTCAAGACCTTATATTTACCCTATGTAATTAAAAATACATTTCAGATAATAGGTATAATTAATGTTTGAACTTTATGAAAAATAATTATTCATGAAATAAAATAAAGCATGTTTTATATTCAGAGAATAAACTATAAAAAATATTTTTAAATTATAACTGAAATATATAGAATATTTTGTTTACAATTGAAACAGATTTAATTTTATCTATTTAAATGCCATGAAGTATGATTAAAAAACAGACTAATCGTTTAGTAGCTATTAAGCAGACTAATATTCTACATTCCAATAATAAAATGTTGATTATAACTCATAATATTAGTAAAATATTTAATGTCTATGATCATATAAAAATTTAAGCCAGTTAACATTTTTATTATAAACTTACTTTAAATAATTAAAACATATATTAATAGTAATGAATTAGATAAATGAAAAAAGTGATAATAATTAATCAATTTAAGTATATTAGCATATTTTTAATAGAAAGATTAGAATAATTACAGAGAAATTAGGTAGGTAAGTATGTAATAAGAAACTAAAAAATTAAAACAATGCCATTCAAGGCCTTAAACCTTGAAAAATAAATGTTAATAAAACAAGAACCAATATTTGTAGTAAAATTTACTGAAATTAATATTTTATTAAAATTATTTAGATAGATTAAAATATATTTTGCTCTATCTTGTCTATATATTTTGTAATCATTGCAGAATAAAAAGCTATTAAGTTTTTTTAAAGCTAAATTGAATGAAATTTATTGAAAATAATATTGCAATAAAAAAATTAATTTAATATAAGGTTAAAAAAGTTACCTACATAAAAAAAATAATGGAGCAACATCAATAATTTTTTATGAAATCCTACAGAAATAATATTGATAATCACAAAGAATTAACTTATACAAACATTTGATAAGTGAGCTATTTTTTAGTACCTTAAAGGTATTAATAAAGCTAATATTTTAAATGAAGAATTTATTTAATTTTATCAGATATTTGTAATTGGATAATTTATTTGTAATCTCATTGTTCATTATTTAATATTAGATAGGTACTTATTGTACTTATTTTAAATTGAGCTAGTTTTTTTTTCTTGGATAGCCAACAGTGAAGGAGGATCTGTGTAAATATTACTACTTCTAAAGCTACAACTAGAGTTTACAGAACAGAGATTTGAATGAGGTTTCAGTTTTTTTTTTTTTTTAAGTCACTGGATTTTGAAAATCATAAAAATCTTTTTTCTTGAACATATTTTAATATCAGTCTGTCTTTCTAGTTTTAATATTCTATTTTGTGTTTATAAAAGATAATGCATTTGCCTACATATTCTCATTAATATAACAAAATCCACTTTTAATAATATACAACAAAATAGCTTTTACATATAGTTATATGAATACAATTAAAAGGGTTGTCATAATATTATCTTAGCCTTTGTTTTATCTTGCCTAGAAGATATATGGTTAAATTATATATACCTAGATGGATACATATGTTAATTTCTTATTATTTATTTTGATTTTACACTGGTCTTTAAATTTTTGATATTGTTGGAAAATTCGTTATAAAAATTGTAAAATTTTTGGATAAATAAAGATAATTAATATGTTGTGGGTACTTTAAAAAAAAACAATAGATGTTATGAAGTAGGTACTTAATTATGAAAGCTGATAAATGGTTTTTCAGCATTTTACTATAAGTTCATATCTTATAGAATCTAAAATAATAAATATATTTATATAACGAAGTAGTACTATAGTATAATAAGGTAGTTTATTGTGAGAAAATTATAGTCTGTAGACAAATACCTCATACATAATTACTGAACACAAACCTAGCTTGCACCGGAAATGCTTACTTCTCGATAAGTCCCAAATTTTTGATGATGCTCAACGTCTGAAGCACAAGCGAATCAGTTTGTCTAACCGAACCACTACGGCTACGATTCCTGCCAAATATGAACAGTCTTCGTTCGCTGCCATCCGCTCCATGCTGACCAAACATGTTTGTCACATTTTCGCCGTTATGACACGATTTACAATGGAACGCACCCATGAAAACAGTTACCACAAAAATGACGACAATAGTGGGAGGAGGAATACGTAAAATAAAATTTAAAAAATTGTCACTTTTATTATTGTTGGTAAATGTAAAATTGTCAGTATTGTTATTGTTCGTCCGTCAGATAGTCGTGTAGACGATCGCCGGACTCCGGTGCACTGCACACTGCGACAGTTATCTATGGTCAAAATATTATTGAATTCTAATCTTGTGCAACGAGCAGCGATTGCCGCGGTTTACATCAAAAAACATTATTGACGCCGTTGGAACCGACTAAAGTCAAGTGCGCCATTAACGTTGCCGAGTGCTAACCGACCGCGCGCGCCCGCCCGCTCGTGTGTGTGCGTGTTCAATTTCAATATCATATACGTCAACAACAATAAAAATACATATTATTAAATGCGGAAAACGATAAATCGCGCGCGCGTGTGTGTGTATCTGGTTTACGTATAATATTGTATGTATGTGTGCGTTTGTATTTAGTACAACATTACGCACTATGTATCGAGATAATTGTTTAATGTTTTGTACGTTTCATAGACACGACTATAGCGTATAATATATGTATGTATACATATCATTGAAAAAAGATTAAATAATATATTAGTACGGTTAGTGATTCATCGTTAAAATAATAATAATAACAGTGGAAAAAACTTCCTATAGTAAAAAAAAAAATAAGACTGAGTTTCAGCTGATGTTATCATCAGCCATCCGGTCGGCGCGCATGCATCGCGGACACGGTGTGAAGGTGACGTAAACAAAGAGTATTTACTCGGTGATAATAAATCGAGGGCCAGTGCCCAGTACCATGTGTGCGCCTCGGCGCTACCAAATCAAGGTCAATCGCCGAGACCGGCCGGCTCTCGACCATTACCATTTTCCGCTAGTCGCCGCGTTTTTCTGCAAACGGAAAGGGCGCACGACTAAACCCAACTGTCTCCTACTACGTTTCCATAGAGCGGAATCGCTGGATTGCCGAATTTGAAAACAGGAGTGAGAACGATGGAATGAATGAGCGAGTGACGACGGCAATCCTCAATTTACAAGGTTAATGGTTGTTCCACCAGGCGCCGAGTGCACACCTTGCCACCACAACCCGGTCACCGTACTCGTATTTCGTGGTATAAGTACGACCGGACTGACATGCTCGACCGTTAGTTGTTGCTTGATCGTCGATCATTCCTTGACGATCGGGACGAACATCTACGTGGCTTGTACACGAACCTAACATACCGATTTTTTTGACATCTTCGCCACTAAACCGGACGCCACTAAAGCTCCTTTTCGTCTTCAGTCGTCATACCACTTGAATTTGTCATGGGTAAAGTCGTGACGTGCGTGGCACCCGTCAACATAGCCACTATAAAATACTGTGAGTTTTGGCACTTTTCCACCTTGCAATTTAATCCTGCATGAATATTATATTTATTATATTGTTTTTTCCTGTTTTCAGGGGGCAAAAGAGACGAACATTTGATATTGCCTCTAAACGATTCAGTCAGTCTGACATTAGACTGCGATCAAGTGAGTTTCTATTAAACACTTGTACCAATGATTGTATTGTAATCATGTAATCCCTTAAAAATAACAGCCATTATTTTTCCTACTTTACTGAGCCTTTGAAAATATGTTTCAAATTATTATACCAACCTTTTATATTATGTAAACATAATTATCAAATTCATTATATTTATACAACAAGCAATTATTTTTTTTCATGTCCATTTGATCAAGAACTTAAAAATGTATTAAATAATAATAAATACATGTTGTACAATAATTATTTATTGACAGTTAAAAATCTTGTTTATAATTTATAAAAATAGCTTTATAGTAATACCTCAGGGTGTCGCCACTGGGCGACTTCCGCCTCCCGTTAATCAATCATCATCACATTTACTTATTGTATAACATGTAAATACAGATTGTAAAAATTATGTTTTGTTCAATAAAAAAAAAATAAATAATACCTAAGTATACATTTGGGAAGAATAGGGCTTCTATCTTTTGCTTTAAAAATTGTTGAACTTCATTAAATAATCTATTTTTTTTTTCTTTTTACAGATGCACGCTAAAACTTCTGTTATTGCAGGGCCGTTGATAGATGAAGACAGTGTTTGGTTAAATGGACAGTAAGTGACTTGATTTTTTATAATTGTTAATAAAAGTTGTTGTATTAATTTCTAAATTAAGGCAAATGGTGTGTTAAATTAGTCACATAACACATTGAATAACATTGAACACTTTAAATAACATAAATTTGCTACTCATCTAGATTTACTTGTAAGATTTGCTTAGTCTATTGATAGACTCCTTTTGACTATTATAATATATTATCTTATTTATTCAAAGTGTGTATTTGATAATATGATATATGAAGTATAATTATCATAACAATAGTGAATAGAGTATTATTATGCTTGTATATAGATATTTATATTATTTGATGAACTATATTTCCATTTATTTAATCACTTTATTTTTTTTATATATAATATTATAAAATCTTTTCAATGAAACAACATTTTTTATATAATTTATATTAACTCCATTAATAATAGTACTCAGTTTAACTCCCCTAATATATTGAATGATTTGATTATTAATTATTATGTAAAAAATTATTTACCTTACATTATTTAAAATAATTTTTTTAGTCTAAATATATTTATTTCAGTTATATTTTATGATTTGCAGTTATTTAATAATAAATTATATAATATATTTGTACTTTGTACTTTTGTGTTTATATCTCTAAATAAATATAAATGTGCATAGCTAAAATAAGACATTTAATTGAATAACTTATGAGGTATGGATTATAATATTTTCTTTTATTAACAAATATCCACTAAATTGCAATTAAATATAATTAATAGTTTTGTATAGTTGTAATCATAAGTTAATTATGAGAAATATTCAATATTTTTTTATATTAATTAGACAATTGAATTGCTTTAATATATATATATATATGACAGACTCATAATTAATATTTATTAATAATTTATAAACATTAATTGGTCATTATTTATATAATTAAAATAATTGTTAAGTATTATTAGTATATAGCACTACAGCTGTTGAATTTATAATATCTTATTTAATCAAAATTATAAATATGACTGATTTTGTAAATCATAAAATTATCAAAATAGGAAATACATTTTAAATACTTTAAACTATCATATTTATTTTCATTATTATTAGTATTATGTTTAATTCAATAAAATATTATAAATATATATGTAATAAATAATTTTAAATTATCTGAATAATTATAAAATTACAGAATTATGTCCATTGAAACAAACGAACGTCTGAAAAAGTGCTTTCAATTAAGTAAGACTGTATTTTAATAACATAAATTTAAATTGTATTTATTGCTTTTTTATGAAATATATTATCATGTATAAATTACATTTATTTTATGTTTTTAGTACAAAATTATTTTTAGTTTTTCTTATAAATTTGTTTTATCCTTATTTTAAATTTTGAGTTGAGCAATGAATGTAATTATTTATTATTATTATTATTTTTATGGTTTGTTTGTAAGACTTCTTTTTTTTCACTAAAAATATTATCTTATACTATTTATTTTAATCTATGGAAAAACTATATTTTTAATCTATAAAATTTATTTTTACTATAATACAAAAATTGTTAGTAACTTTTCAAAATAAATGTATTTATATATATATATATATTTTTTTTTTTTTAGTAAGAAATTTAATCAAAACTCGAAAAGGTGAAGATAGTCAAGAAGCAAAATGGAATATAAGGGTTTGTTCAGAAAATAATTTCCCTACTGCAGCAGGACTAGCATCATCAGCAGCTGGTTATGCATGTCTTGGTTTGTATATTTTCTAAAATTATTCATAATTAGATGTTTAAAAATGTATATTTTTTTCCTTAAAAATATTTTTGACAGTATTCACATTAGCTAACTTTTTTGGCTTGGTTGATGAAGATCTACCATCTATAGCTAGACAAGGTAGTGGAAGTGCTTGTAGAAGTATTTATGGAGGATTTGTTCATTGGAAGGCTGGTATTGATGATCTGGGTTCAGATTCTACTGCAGTTCAAATTGCTGCGGATACACATTGGCCAGAGATGAGAATTATCATACTTGTGGTAAAAAAAGTTCTTATGTCAAATAATTTTAATTATTTTGCGATTGAAAATTTAAAATATGGATTACTATAATTTTAAACATTCTTTGTGAAATACATTAATTTTACAATATTTTATAATTTATATTACATCTTTAATAATAAACTACTGAGTTATACTTTAAAATTTAAATTCCTATCAATTGGTAGAAAATTAAATCTATAAGTAAATACAGTTTTAACCTTAATTTACATAAAGCAATTTTTAGAATTCAATGTATATCATTGCTTCAAAATTTAGTATCACAAGGTTAATTTAGCTCACCCAATTAATGTATTAATTATTTTTTTTTAAATTATAACTCATATTTCTTATTATTTTTCTTTAGGTGAATGATTCTCAAAAAAAAACTAGTAGTACTGTGGGAATGAAACAAGCAGTTCAGACAAGTGAATTACTTAAATATAGAGTTCAAAAGTGTGTACCTGAAAGAACAAAAGAAATCATTCAAGTATAATTATTTCTTAAACATTTAATTACAGATGCATAAATACTATATTTTTGTCTTAGGCCATAACAGATAAAAATTTTGAAAAATTTGCTGAAATTACAATGCGAGATAGCAATCAATTTCATGCAGTTTGTTTAGATACATATCCTCCTTGTGTTTATTTAAATCAAGTATCACATGATATAATATCTTTTGTTCATGATTATAATGAAGCTGTTGGCCAAATTAAAGTATATGATTATTTTTTTAACTTATTTTATCATATTTAAGTGGTAAGTGTACTTTAATGGTTTTTACTATTTTAGGTTTCTTACACATTTGATGCTGGTCCAAATGCATTTTTATTCATTCAGCAAAATGATTTGAATTTGTTTATGTCGGAATTGGTTAATGTTTTCCCATCAGAACAACCTAATTCTTCATATTTACGTGGAATCATGTCAACACTACCTTATAATGTTTGTTATTCTTTGAGTTAAACAAAATTTTCAATTGTTTATTTGCAATTTTATTATTTATTTTAGGTAAGACCTTATGGGTTTAAACCCAAAGATAAAAATCTTCTGAAGTATATCATGGTCACTAAATTAGGTAGCGGTCCAAGATGTGTTAATGACCATTTATTAAATGAAGATGGTACTCTTAAATCAAGCAATTAAATTTTAAATTGATGAGGTCAATTTTTAGTTATTTTAATTTATTGTTATAAACCTATTTATAAAATATTTATTGATGTTGCCAAATTTATAACTAATTGTATTGCTTTATTATTGGAGCAAAATATTTACATTTATGTAATTTAAATGGGCACTAATCTAAAATAAAAGACAATATTTTATAATTCAATTTATTATAAATTATTTATTGTTACATTTTTTTTTTTTGATATCTATTTACCTTAATATAAATTTTTATATATTTTCATGTCTGTTATAATAAACTTTTGCAATGGGTTTATTTTTGTATTATTGAATGAATTAAAAGATTGAATTTTTTAATATGTTACTACTTATATTATACATAGACGCGTATCATCAAATTAGAATACAAATTTGATGGCTATCTTGTAATATGCTTAAAGTCATCCTGTACATTCTGAATAATATATTAAATATTAATATCCAAATTTATTGGACTTGAAAATCAGTTGTCTGGAATCTTTAACTTGAATAAATGTCATATATTTGTCATTTATAATTCATACTTAAGAGTACCTCAGACCAATTTCTATTTCTTTTAAAACAATAGGTTGTAATTCCAAAGTATTGTTTCAAAATAATAAATAAATCATTATCAAGTCAATATATAATTATAAATTTTAATGAGAAAGACAAGTGTAATGATAAATAAATAAATATAACACAATTTTAATATTTTATAATCTTACATTTTTATTTAAAAAAAAAGGTATTTTCAGCTCTACTATATGGAAAAAAAAATATAAATTTGTAATGAATAGTTATAATTATACATAATTACAACTGATGTAAAATAATATGTATGTTTGTTTATTAAATAAATTACATTTAGTTTTACTAAAATAACATATTACAATGAATTTTTCTTATAATTTTGAATGTGACATTTTTTTTAAATCGACTATTGGCCAGGCTCTAAAAGAAACAAAATAAAAATAAATAAATTAGATACTTTTACAATTTAAGAACACAAAACAAAGATAATTATCGTCACTATTCAAAAAAATAAAGCAATCAATAAATAAAAAATTAAAATCACTTAATTTTAGAATAAATATAAGATAAAAAAAAAAATTTGGAAATAATAATTTGTAAGTTCAAAAATAATTCTCATGTAATTAATTAAAATGTCTTTACTTAAGTACAAAAACAATATTGTAATTATAAAGTATTTGAAAAAAAAATATAAACAAAATATAGCTAATACATATCTGAGTATATGGGTTTCACAGACTTGTAAAATATAAATAATATTAGTGAATACTAATATATTTATAAAATAACTATTAATTTTAAAATGTGAGTAAAACTTAAAATATTCTTATATCAAGCATAATAAAAAAATTAAAAGAGAATTGTTATTCAAAACTTTTAAATACTTTACAAATAATAAACTTTATATTAATGCATACAAATCCATTTATTCAAATTATTAGTACATTTTGAAACATTCAACCATGCAAAAACTGATACTCACTAAATTATAATCACACTATAACTTACTAAAAATGTATAACAATTTTTCAATTGTTTAATTTATATAAGTTCAAGCTTTTTCATCTGAAATATTGCAATTTTATATAAAGTTTATAATATCAAGAAACTACTATATTATACTTTTTTTTATCTAATATAATGAGTTATCTTATCAAATATTTCTTCTATTGATTTATAACTTGAAACTTGATTTAAAGAAATATTTAATTAACAATGTATTTTTTATAGATTTTAAAAATCTGTAAAATCTTTGCACTCTTTCATGGTTTAAACACTATTGCTAAAAGTCAATCATATGTTTGTCAAAAAAAAAAAAAAAAACCACATCCAAAACCTATGTGGAAGTTTGGAATAGCATGAATAAAATAAATTAAATTGATAGAATTTTAGAATTGAACTAATCAAATGTTTAATCCTAATTCTTGCTGTAAGAAAATTATATCAAATATAATACACTAAAATACATGGGTTTAATAAAAATCAATCTTATAGATGTACCTTAAACTAACTTTATTCTTTATTTCATATGAAAAATTAAAAATTAATAAACAAATTAGATTGATACTTACTGGATGGCTTTCCTTTAACCCATGGGGTAAATTTTACATGTGTTTCATCGCGCTTGCTTGCATTAGCTTGGAGTTCTGGTTTTAACACTCTTCTTACAACTTTTGCAGCAATGTTGGAATAATTAACATAGCTAAAATTAACAAAAGAAATGAACTTAATTAACATGTTAAAAATTCAAAATTTAACAAATGATTTTTATTCCAGTCCAATGTTTTTTCAATTGATTGCAACAAAGGTAACAATTTAGATATTAATTATACAATTATACAATCTATATCATGATTATTCACATAACAGATTGAAGAACAATAAGTTAATGATGAGCTTTAACTCTGAATGAAATTTGGACCTATATATGAATATGGAAAATAATTATGAGCCATAATATGAAACGTTAAATTTCGCAATTAACATTGAAAAGCTTAGAAAACGTGTTCCGTAAAATCAGAGGGTCTACGGACTGACGCCTATTTGGAACGTACACTATAGGACATTGTCCAATTACACAGTTTTAAATAGGCGAAAATTATTACTTCAATCCAGCGGCTCTCCAGTAACTCATGATGATCGCTGTTGTGAATGTCTAGTGGCAGCAAATTGAAAAGATCCTGAAATCGAACAGACCGTGCGGTAAAAACAGTATAATACTGAAATCGACACTATATTATTTCCCTTAAAAATATGTGGTATGTAGTATGTACTATGACTACTATATAGGAACTTGAAAGTTAAAAGATAAAACATATGTGCAAACCACAAGGTGATAATATTTGTGGCCGAGATCACCTTCGTGCAGTGTAACCATAGAACGGTGCACATAAGATCCCTTAATCACTTATATGGTCAATTCCATTTTTATTTTCTTCAATTTTTTTGGGAAGCACTGTTGATAAAAAACTAAACAAAACGATTTCCATTATGGCGGTTGTCGGGTTGATCGAGGAAATGGAATGCGAATTTTGTCATCACGTGATTTGTTCGAACTGATTCGTCGCCGCCTTGTCCCTCGAGTCGCTTCGCTGCCGTAGACGCACTCACACACGTACCGTTCGCGCATACTTTTATCGATAGCCGAATACCGATTTAGTTTGCTACGTGTGCGCATCTTAACAACGTCCCCGGTCAGTCGGAACTCGGAAACGACTCCGCCGCCGTTGCTTAAAGCTGCAGTTCCACTGTCACTGTCGCAATGGATATCAATAAGATCACCAACCTGCTGAACGCCACGCTCTTCCAGCCGCATAGGAGTGAGGCCGAGGAACAGCTTCAGGGTGTAAGCATGCTTTTTGTCTGCACGCATAATAATAGTGTACCCACATGCGTCATGCACGCCGTTGAAGGTTATGCGATTTATCATACTAATTTTGACATGATGAGTAATTCATTGGGTCCGTTGACGTATTATTATTATATCGTTCTTAATTTTCTCGTTCGGTTTATTGGGCCAAACATGAGAAAATCCTATATACGTTTACATAGGGCTTGTTAGAAATGTGTCGGGGAATCGCCCGCCAAAACTGAAAACCGGGATCACGGTTCCGTCGGTATCCCGTTGTCAGCCACGTTTTTCGCAAACGCGTGTCGTATCTTTTACACAAACGTGGAAGAATTCTTTTCATTTTTACTTTTTTAATTTGCAATGGTGCTAATCGTATTTTTTGTTCATTATAGTATTGTTGTCACCATGTACGATTACATCATCGTTATTGCAAGGGCGTTTAATTATGATGAGCAATTTATTAATTGGTATATTGGAACAATTAATGAAAAACGGAAAAGAAATTATTAAAACCTTAATTAAACACATTTCAATTATTTTGTACATTAACGTGGTTTATGTTGACCATAGTTTTTTACCTACCTGACATTAAATATACCATCTATGCTCTATGGCTAATTGTATACCTTGAATTATACAATACGATTTGTTTAAAACAGATACTGTAATCAAAATAATTTAAATGTGTTTAAATATAAATTGTCTTTATGACCTTATCATTAAACTGGTTGTTGTTGAAATAACCTATATCCCTTAGCTTAATAAGTATATAGAAATTGTATAATATTAACTTAAAATCTACCTGTTGATATCAAATTAATGTTAATTAATGTCTACAATATTTTCATATTTTAGTCTTTTCAGTTCTCTATTTTTTGATTTTATATTTATTGCATAAATTATAACCGGTTTATTTAAAAAAAAAACATTTTGAACAAGGTTTACTTAAAATATGAATATTATATTATTATTTACCTACTTAAATAAATTTTTGATTCTTAGTTACAAAAAATTGCTGGATTTTGTCCAACTGTACTACAAATTATTGTTTCCTCTGAAATGGAAATGTCTATTAGACAAGCAGGTAAGAAATATTATTTATGTAAATTAGGGTTAACAGTATTTAACCTTGTTTTAGATGTATAATAAACTGAAATACTTATAAAATCACTTATAAATCGTGATATTTTTGGTTATGGTATTAATTACCACGTCTTCTCCATTAATGTTTTCCTCTCTTTATTATACTATCTAATCAACAATAAAAAAGAATTTATTATCATAGAGTACTTGAATATTTTAGTATTAAAATATATACCAAAAATACTATTAACCCATTAATAAATAAAAATGTGACTATTCATGTATGTATAAATATTGAATTAAAGGTGCTATATATCTGAAAAATTTAATGTACCAAAGTTGGGCAGATCGTGATGACGATCCAAATAGATTTACAATTTACGAACAAGATCGAATAGTAGTAAGAAATACAATTTTAGATATGATAGTTCAAGTACCAGAATTATTACGGTAATTAATTCCTATCTTTTCTATTTAAATTTACTTATTTTATAATAATAAATATACTAATTTTAGAACACAGCTAACTGTTTGTTTGGTAACAATGTTGAAACACGATTTTCCTGGACGTTGGACCAATGTTGTTGAAAAAATTGATGCTTATTTAAAAAGTGATAATTCATCATATTGGATGGCTGGAATAATTGGTTTTTCAGCTTTAATAAAAGCTTTTGAATATCATAAGGCAGATAAATCGCCCATACATGCTGCAGTCAAAGTATTACTACCGTCTGTATACAATGTCATGGTTCATATAGTTAATAATACCACTGCTGAATCTGTTGCATTGCAGAAAACTGTTGTTAAAAGTTATTTCAAACTTATACAAGTAATTATAACTTCATGATCTAATCAAATGTATAATACTGCTTAAATATACAATTTATTTTACAGTTTACAATAAGTCCTGATCTAATGGAAAGATCCACTTTTACTAAATGGATGGAATTATTAAGCATAATAGCTTGTAATCCAGTACCAGAAGAAGTGAGTCGTTTGGAGCATAGTGAGATAGATCAATTACCTTGGTGGAAAATTAAAAAATGGGCATTACATACAATGTATAGAATTTTTGAAAGGTAAATATAAAATATAGTTTTACTTATAATTAAATTGCTTAACACTAAATTTGTCAATTTAAGGTATGGAAGTCCTGGCAGTGTTTCCCAAGAATATCAACAATTTGCTATATTTTATGTAAAAACTTTTTCTACTGGATTTATAGAAATAATTTTAAGAATCTTAGATCAATACCGTAACAAAGTCTACATCCCTCCAAGAGTCATGCAAATGTGTATGCACTATTTGAACCAATGGTAATTGATAGTTATTTGCTCAATATCAATATTATTCATATAATCAAATTATCATTATGGTTTTATATGGTAATTAATGAAAAATATATTTATCATTATTTTATTTTGTCACCAGTGTTAGTATTGGACATACCTGGAAAATGATTAAACCACATATTGCCGCAATTATTCAAGATGTAATATTTCCACTCATGTGTCATTCAGCATGTGATCAAGAGTTGTGGGAAACTGATCCACAAGAATACATTTCTCAAAAATTTGGTATTATTTTAATTTATAACGTGTATTTATAACTTACAATATTTAAACATTATTATTTTATAATAGATATTTTTGAGGACTTAATATCTCCTGTAATGGCTGGTCAAACAATGTTACATTCAGCATGTAAAAAACGTAAAGACATATTACCTAAAGCAGTTCAATTTATTGTTGGTGTTATAACTTCAAATGATGCTACTCCATCTCAAAAAGATGGTGCTCTTCATATGGTAAATATGATTTATTTTATTTTTAACTATAAAACATTAAATTAAATGTTTTTATTAATTTTGACTCTTTCATAGCTTGGAGCGTTAGCTGATGTCATATTTAAAAAAGATATGTACAAAGATCAAGTATGTAGTATGCTATATCAACATGTATTTCCAGTTTTTCAAAGTCCCCATGGGCACTTAAGAGCTAGAGTATGTATTTCGATTTCTAGCAATTTACATATATTGGATAATTTTGTTATTTCTTCTTTAATTAGGCTGCTTGGTTTATACAACACATATGCGAAGTTAAAATTAATAATGATAATGTTTGGAAGGATTTAACAGCACTATCTACTAATGCTTTATTAACTGATGAAGAACTTCCTGTCAAAGTTCAAGCTGGATTAGCCATTCAAGCATTGTTAACTGCTGAAACCAAAGTTGAACAACTTTTAGAACCCAGGGTATGAACTTTAAAAAAAATAATATTTAATTAAGATCTTATAATACAGTTTTTTTTCTACAGATTAAAGAAATTACACTTGAACTTTTGAGAGTACTTCAACAAACTGAAAATGATGATATTACTAGTGTTGTGCAAAAAGTTATTGCAACTTATTTTGATAAACTTGCACCTATTATGTATGAAATTTGTCAGAATTTGGTTTGTATTTTATTTATTTATATTATATATATATTACACAATTTGTATAAATAAAAGTTTAAGTTAATTTTTCTATTATAATTAACTCTAAAGTGAATAGATTTTTTTAAATATTTGCAAGTTATTAAAATTATTATTATACTTAATTTTTTTTTTTAGTTCAATTTCATCATATATACCATTTATTTTTTGTATTTTATTATCTTTTTCTTTAATATTCAAGTTCAACATGTATTATTTGATTTATTTATTTTAGGCAAAAACCTTCCTTCAAGTTCTCCAGTCAGACGATATGAATGATAAGAAAGAAATAACTGGTATGAGTATTTTAAGTTGTATAGAAACCATATTGAGTGTGAATGATGAGCAACCACAAACTATAGCAGCCCTTGAACCAGTTGTATTGGAAGTCATAGTGAATATTTTTAACACGCCTGAATCTGGCATTGGTAAATAAATGTGCGACAATCACAAAATATAATTTATTTAATCAAATTATTTTTGTTTTAGAATACTATGAAGAGGCTTTAAATTTAGTATGCGACTTAACCAGTATAGAAGTATCAAATAACATGTGGAATGTTTTGGAATTAATTTATAGGGTAAGTTTTTATTATTTTTAATTGAATTGTTCAATTATAGATGAAAAACATGTATAAGATTATTGATTTTGAAACTAATTAAAATTTTATGCAGTTTTACATTTAAATTTTATTGATTTTCATCACAGTTCGAAATAAATCTTAGATTAATTTCAGTGCATTTATGTTAAATATTTATTTTTTCTTAATTTTAAATTTTTTTTCAATTAATTATTTAATTGTTTTTATAGGTTTTCCAAAATGATGGAATTGATTATTTTGTTGATATGATGCCTTGCCTTCATAACTATGTTACTGTTGGAATGGAGAATTTAATCGCTAATGAAAATTTAATGCTAATTGTATTTAACATGTGTAAAATTGTAAGTAATATATCAACAATACTATTTTATGAAATAAATTAAAAAATTTAATATATTATTCAATTTAAGGTTTTGTCATCAGAATCTGGTGAAGAAGCTGAATGTCATGCTGGAAAATTATTAGAGGTTATAATTTTGCAATGTAAAGGCCGAATTGATCATGTAATTAATAAATATTTAATATTTATAAAGTTAAAAAAACTTAAAAAAATTTCATTATTATTTTAGTGTATACCATCCATTGTTGAGTTGGTTCTACAAAGACTAGTTAGAGAAATTAAATCATCTGAATTACGAGCAATGTGTCTTCAAGTGATTGTAGCTGGTATTTATTACAATCCACATTTATTATTTGATACACTTGATAAATTACAAATGTCTATGTCTACAAGTGAATCTATATCTGCCCATTTTATTCGACAATGGTTACAAGATACAGACTGCTTTTTTGGGTTAGTTTAAAATTAAAAAAATATCTGGTTTTAGTATTTATTATGATTTTGTTTTGTATACATGGAATTCATGATCGTAAGCTATGTGTTATGGGTTTGCTCACATTAATGGCATTATCTCCAAATCGGCCTATTGCTGTTAATCAATATGCTAATCAAATCGTACCTTCAATGCTCATGCTGTTTGATGGACTTAACCGAGCATACTCGAGTAAGTTTAAATGTTGACATATTATTTTATTTTGTTGAACGGTTAAAATAAAATTCAAAATTATTTAATACTTTTCCTTAAAATTTAAGGTTATGTCCAGTTATTTTCTATAACTGATTTACATTCTAATAAAATACTTTTTAATAAAAAGTTAGTTTTTCATACAATATGCAGCTGTAGGTAATTAAATCAAAAAATTATATGAAGTAAATTTATTAGTGTTTGTGCTATGATTAATTATACTCTATTTGGTAGAGTAGCCAATTAAAAAATTAGTTTTTTTGTCTATTTATATAATAAAATTGAAATTTCAATTTTAAAATAAATATACATTGCTGGTTGTATGAAAATTAATGTCATATTTTTTTAATCAAATTCTGACCATTTAAACCATATAATTGATAAAATTTTGCATCTCATATTTTTATACAATAATTTGCTAGAATTATAATGATACAATTTATTTATTGATATACATTACATTAACTTAACATATGGTTTTAATGAGAACAAATTTTATATAATATATATATATAAAGAGTTTTGTATGTTTAAGGTAAAAATTCTAAAAAATATCAAATTTTAGTTTTTTATAATTAAAATAGGGTTTTATTGTATCATTTTGTATAATAGTATAAAAATTCCCTTAATGTTTTCTTAACCCGTCGTCGGTGACTTTATTTGTATAACACTTTGAGTGATGTGTGAGTGAAATGCTCACCTATTGAAACTGCTAAAGCATAATAATAAAAGAATATGGTAAGGCAATCAGTGACGTGCGAGCACAACGCTAACATATATGTTATTATTACATGTACGGCAACATTGGACTTCAATAACATTGTTAGTTTATCTATAATATTTAATGTTTTCCTGTATTTATTTTCATGAATAACTCAATGAAGCATTTATATAATATTGTCAAAATCGAATGAAATATAAATCAGTGGCTCTAAAAATTGTAATTGTGTGAGCGAAATACTCATAGTGTCACCAACGATGGGTTAAACAGTGACGTATTGATAGGGTAGCATTTTGGACAATAGCCACGGGTCAACAACCTATTAAGGATTGTTGCAAATCTAAAAAACAAATTACCATTATTACATAATTTAAAAATATGATGATCATTAGAAACAACAACTTTGTTCTAGTAGACTTAATTTACTATTTAGAAAAATGACTAAATAAAAGATTATTTTATGTGCAATATCTGTAATATTAATGTAATATATATAATAATCATTTTGAAATAGAAATAACAAGGAAACATATTCTTTATCTAGAGTGTTATAACTTCTAGGCTAGGAACCCTATTCATATCTGTCAATTTCTCAATTTGTCATCATAAAATTCAACCTATTATGCAGGCATACAATCCTGCTAAAACAGCCGTGGTTTTTCAATGTTATTTTGTCATTAGTTATTGTGTAGTCAGTCACATCACACATTGATTGATTTCATCTTCGTGGTTTTGCACTTGCTGTAAATTATTGTATTCAAAATAAACATTATGATCATGTTATAAAAAAGTAACTAGTGACAATAGAAATAATTAACTAATATTGAGTCAAGTGTAGAACTTAGTGCCTCTATCAGTGAAACAAATGAATATGAAGTCTTCACCCCTTACATTTTACCATGTGTTTCATTTAAAGATATGAATAAAAGTCTTATGATACTATTTTTTTAAATATTAAAACTTCTGATCTGACAGATATTGACATTTAAAAAAAAATCATATTAGATGCTTAAATTCAACTGTTAATAATTTAAAATAGGAATTATAGACCTAAATATGACTTTCCTTTAAAATTTAGACTGTAAATCTTTTTTGGTAAATTTTATTTAATAGTATCTAAATCTGGTTTAAAAATTTGAAAGTTTTTGGCTGCGTTGTTCTAATATACTTCATAAAACATTATAAGTAATGTTGATTATTTAGAGAGCTCACATTCGTTGATTTTCTAATAAATTTGTACTATAGATTGTTGTGATTGGAAACACATATTAGGAAGGCAATAAAAACCAAGGAACAATCACATATTCACTACATTTTTTTTTTAGTATATAAAATAGTTTTTCAATAAAACATTAACTGAAGAATTGGAACTAAGCATAAAAAAAGAAGTATTATTTTGTCATCAGGTTTTGAAAGAGTTTTGAATACTACTCTTACATTTGCTAGCAAAGCTTATTTTTGCATGGCTACAAAGAAAAGCTAAGCAGTGGAAAAGGATAAAATGGTAATTTTATTTGTTTTTTTGAGCTACTTGCCAAATATGACCCAGTACTAGAAAAGGTGATTAATCAGGGTAATAATAAAATAAATCACTAGAATTCAAAATAAATTGATATAGTTAATTTTAAATACAGTTAAAAACAAGTTCATACTTAATATCAAAGAAACTTGTTTTTTACCATTATAATTGACACAACACAAGATATTTCAAAATATCTAGAAATATCTATTTTCAAGATAGTTCATTAGTTAAGTGAGATTTACCGTTATTGTTTTATAGAAAAAGATGAGTCTGGGAATCAAATTAGTTTTTTTTCGGAATTTAATGAAGTTGATGAATTCGATCTATTTTCCTCTTCATTTGAACACTTTGATGAAAAAAAAGAAATTTCTTTCACTAAGTGTCATAATCAAGATAATGATGATGCATCTAATGTGAGCGGTATGTATAATGGCTTACAGAAAAGAATTAACGATATCGAGCTAAGCACAGCGTATATCCATTGTCCAGCTTATAATTAAAATTTAATTGTCAATGATGCTGTGAAAGAATTATCAGAAATTACAGTATTTTTGGATATTGTTCAAAGAGTGTTATTTTTTGGATATAATGTAGTAAGATGGCGTATATTGTCAGATTTAATTAATGCGTTTAAAAATCAAAGTGGATTAGTAATAAAAGTAAAGCTTAATCCAACAAGATTAGTGCAATATTTGCACTTAAAGTTAAATTTGCTGAAATTCAAAAAGCTTTAACAAGAGTTATACTTTGCAGTTTTAAGTCAGATGAGCTCAATGAAGCTAAAAGGATTAAGAAACAAATTAAAATTTGTAACTTTATTTATTTACACTTTGGTTTTTCAATGTAAAATTTTGCAAATAATGAACCTAACTTTGAATACTCTAGTCTAAATCAGTTGATTTAGACAATACATTTATCTATTAAAAAGCTGTTATGAAAAATTAAAGAGTTACAGGTGTAATTTTAATAATCTCTTGGAAGAAGCAATTACAGTTGCTAAAAGTTGGTCTATCTTGTCAGAAATTGAAATTGAAACGCTGTAAAGTTGAGAAAAGAGATGTTAATGAATTATGTACTGATCAACATTCAACTTGTCCAGAAAGTTTATTTGGTGTAATAATTTTCTATCAATCGTTGGATATATTAACAAATCAAATTTATAAATTATTTTCAAGTTTTCATGAATTAATGTTAAATTTTACATGTTTACAATCAGCGTTTCTTACATTATTGACAGATTAAGAACTTTTAAACGAAGCTATAAAGTTGGTTAATAAATATAATGAAGACATGGAAAACAATATAAAGTGAAATTTCATCTATAAGATAAAATCCAAAACATAAAAATAAAATAAACAAACTTACTTAATCCAGAGATCTTGCTCAGCTTTTAATAGTAAAAAATCATTATTTAACAGTAAGTTTCCCAGAAGTATGTACTGCTCTTATTATTTTTGACAATTCCTCTTACATCTACAAGTGCAAAACAATTGTCTTCAAAGCTAAAAATGATTGAAGGATATTTATAAAGTACAGTGACCAAGATTGTTAAATAACCTGGCATAACTTTCAATCAAACAAGAAACAGCTCAAAAGGTTTAACTTCAAAAATGTAATGATATATTTGCTGAAATAAAAGCAAGAAAGAAAACGTTTTCATGAAACTGCAGACCATTTCTTTAAACATCAATAAGTATAACTTATTTCATTTATATTGATTGGTTACAAAAAGAAACTTATTATTACAACTGGCAATCAGTTCCTAGTTATGTATACCACTGCTCATAAAACTATGACATAGATTGATTTGCAAAATAGCACCAGTTTGAAAATATGAAAATAATTAGAACATTAGGAATATTTATTTTTAAGATTAAATTTGTGATCAGGTATGTGACCTGGAGCTTTGTTTCTAGATATTTTATCGATTTTGAAGAAAGTTTAATAATGGGATATATTTTTGATTATGAAAGTTATTTTGGGAAGAATGAATGTCTAATGATTGTTTTATGTACTTTAGAATATTTATATTTGAATATAAAGTGAGTGAACCCTACTTCTTAATATTAAAAAATTCCACTCAACCACCTGAGTTGATTAAACTCCAATTTTCAATCTTTAACGACCTTAACTAACTTAATTACTTCTTGCGTTACTTAAATCATCATTAGCCAAAAGACCATTAAAATAATTCGTTAATAAAAGTCAAACAAAACTTGAAGTGTGGTCTCTGATACTCCAACATGTTATAAATTCTTTAACTAAAAAAAAATTATTATTTTAATACTAGAGATGAAAAAATAATCATATTTTAATGTTGTTTTTATGATAAAAACACTTATTTATAATATTTTGTATACTTTTATTTTAAAAAATGTTAAAACTTTAAATATTACATTTAGATAGAGAAAATCATCAAGAAGAAGAAACTAGCGATGAAGAAGAAGTAGATACTGAAAATGGCAAGTTAAAAGAGTTTTTAATTTTTGTAAAGTTATTATTAATTAGTTTTTAATTTTAGAATTGGCTACTGATGAAGATGAAGTCGATGAAACTTTAGCTTTTGCAACTAGCAAAAGAAAACCCATATATGCAACAACTGTATGTTGAATTTTAACCTGTTTAAAATTGTTTCTATGATTTTGTTATTTGTGCGTAGAATTCTGAAAATGCTGATGAGGACAGTGATAGTGATGATGATGATGATGAATACGAACCACCTGAAGAAACAGTGCTTGAAGTATATACAACGCCACTGGATGTAGACCATAATAATGTTGATGAATCAATTGATGTATACATCTTATTTAAAACTGTATTATTAAGCATTCAACAAAATGACCCTGCCTGGTACCTAGCTCTCACTAACCATTTAAATAGTGATCAACAAAAGTCTATTAATGAATTAATGGTCTTAGCAGAACAGCGTCGCGCTGAATTTGAAAATAGAAAGAAAGAAAAACTAGCAGGTATGTTTAACTTATCTTCAATTTCTATGCATTATTTGTAATTTTGACGTCGTGTGTAAATAAATTATATACATTGGAAATGGAATTAAGGGACTTGATAACCAAGTTTTTTTAGTGACATTTTCAGATACAACATAAGTTCACGAATATATAATAAAGTATAAATTATTACAATATGAAAGTGCTCATAACTAGCCTTACCCAATCTTTTAATTTGTAAGAATTAATTTTTCAAATATCTTTTATTACTTTAAATTAAAAATATATTATGATATACTTATATATAAAAGTATTATATAATACATTATTAGATATTAAGCTTTACTTATAAATTATAACATTAGACATTTCATTCCTGAAATTATTTAGACAACATGTTTATACCCTTTTCATTTACTTTAAAACATATACACATTACTAACAATTAGTTGAATGATTTAATGTAGCAATCATTTTGCTAGTTAACAATAATTTTGAATTTTTATTGGGTACTATTTTTACATTCTCCTATAAGTTGTTGATTTTTATAATATAGATTAATGAAAAGGCAATTTAGGATTTATAAATTAATACAAATAATAATACAATTAAGTTTATCAGTATACACAGGTTAATTCAAATGTTATTGTGTTTCAGGTTTTAAATTTGACCAAGCTACTGTTCCATCCACATTTAGTTTTAGTAACAGCAATAATTCACCTTTTGCTTTCGGACGGTAACTGGACAATTATATATTGACGAATAATATTTGCTTTTACTATTCATTATTATTATTGTATATTCAAACTATATACAAAATCATCTAAACCAATTAAACAACATGTTGTTATCATAATTTTAAATATCATTGTGTTGAAATTAATATATTATTACCAACTTACACCTACAACAGTTTTGTTACTTATATTAGTGTAAAAATTATTACTAAGTTCTAGAATTATTTATATCAACTTAAAAAAAAAAAAATTCAATATTAAGAGACAAAAAATTAATATTGCAATATAAGAATTACATTATTTATTTCATACAAAGTTTGCACGAAAAAGATCAATCCTTATTAGCATAAACATAATTGCAACATTGTCTGGGTAGAATCATCACATCTTGTTTTTTGTTATTTTAAACACTTCTCAAAGAATGTATTGCCAATAACTCCACCTCTCATTGCTTTTTGTACATTCATATCAAACAACCTTTTGTTATTCTGCAAAACATCTGCAGCTTCTTTATTCAAAGGATCTTCTGGATTAGGTTCCTAAAATTTAAATTATGATAATTACCGTATTCATAGTATTATTTTATTAATTTTAATTACCAGGAACAAATACTGCAAACCATAAATAACACTGTTTATGGTCAGTACTGGCTTCCAGTCTTCGCGTAGTATGTTTAAACACACATTGCCATCAAGATCTATATTTGGATGGTAAACTGTTGTCTCACATTTTACTTTAGGCGGTTCATGCGGATAATTAACTCCAACTTTAAAACTAAAATTGAATTTTCCACCTTTGTATGATCCCTAGAAACAAATATAATTAAGTTAAAACACTATAAAATATATTCAATGTGTATATGGTTCACCCACTTCATCAGGGCAGATGGTCAATTTGAAATTTAATAAATCATCCGGATCAGGAAATTCAGTAGTGCATGTTTTCGGTAAAGTAAGTTCATTTAAATCTGTATCAAATAAATAATTTATAAAAGACTATACAATAAATGTGGTTAATTCATTTTGTTTTAACCACTTAAGATTAAACAATTTTAAATAAAAAAGTAATGAATAATGAAAAAAGAAATCTAGGGTTATTTGATAGGAATAACATTAAAGAATTTTTGACATGTCGTCTTTTATAATATTCTATATTGAGTATAAATAGTATAAATAAATTAAATACATATGAATAAGATATAAATTGTTTTGTGAAGTTATAGAGATAATTATTACAGTATTTATAAACATTTAAAATTGATTACCTACAATATATCAATTAAAAAAAAGTAATATCGTTAACTGTACCAATATAGTGGATGTATAAGATTTAATAAAATATCATTGGTTAAAATCATCATTAGTAAAAATCAACATATATATTTTTTTTTAGTTAATGTAATTTGATATTTTTATAATTTTAAGTATTTTTAACGAAGTAAATGTAGATTGATTTAATTGTTAGCAATATCATTGCATTTAATATATAAGTTAATATCAATGTACCGTAAAATGTATAAGTTCTTCCTATATAGCTTAAAGTTATTAATCTAAACATTTATTAAATAATTGAGAAAAAAAAATGAAAAAACAGTGATACTATACATTTCTAAATCTAAATTATTTTACAAAAATATAATCAATTTATAAAAAACATTTTAGTAAAATATTTAACTATGTTAAAATATAAATATCAAAGGTTTCTAAAAAAAAAATGAGTAAGTAGATAGATATTTAATTTAAAAAACTATTTTACAAATATTAGATGATTTTATTTTAATAAATTACATACCTAATTTTAACTATTAAAACTATAAGACAATAATTAACAAATCTTAACTTAATAAATTCATGATACTACATAATATCCATTTTCATTAATATAAGAGCAAAGTTTAATGAGTTATTATGTTGTTTAATAAAGTATTTTTAATTAACTTTACAATAGTATTACCTAGCGACTATCATTTAAACAGAAATTGGATACATAAACTATTTGCTAGAAATATATGTTAAGGAAATTATTACGCATATGAATAAATCTGATGTTTCAAGTTTAATTTTACAAAGCCATAAATGAGGTTATCTAATAAAATAAGTCAAACATTTATTTCAGGAATTTAATACTTCAAAAAGCATGAAATATATTAATTGAGTATTAAATAAGTATACGTTTACCTTTTGTTATTCTAAGATGGGCAGCAGATGCTTTCTTTTGATTCCCTGACTTTGGAGTTTCACCGTCTTTTTTATGTTGCTTTAAGGAATAAAGTTTAATCATAATTGATATTTATGTAAATTGGATTACTAGACGTTGTCTGTTATTTGTAGATATGGATTTGACTAGCTTGGATGAAATGCAAATTTCGAATTGTAATAATACCAGGTATTCTATGAAATTTAGTTGAATAATATACGTCTTCTATAACTAGTAACTACTAAAAGTATTGAAGAAAGTTAGGAATTTAGAATATCTGAATGATAAAGAATCTTATCAATAGTTTAACAAAGAACAACGCAGCGCCATCTGTATGTATATCTAAAGTATAACTGTAAAAATTAATTTTATATTATATTTAAGAGTGATTTAAAATCACGGGCGTATACGTCAAATTATGAATTCTATAACATCATAAATTAAATTAGATATTTTGAATTTTAAAGTTGCTATTTAATTGATTTTACATTGCTTTTTTCATAGTATAACTGGTATATATATGGTATCCTTGGTAAGCATAAATATGTCTGATAATGTTTTCATAAACAATCGATTATTGAACGGAAACCATAGACCAAAACATAACAATGATAACACATTAACACTGAAGTTTGCGATAATCCGATATGAATTGTCTCACTGTCAACTGACTACTACCGACCGACCAATTACCAGTCACGTGGATGCTTTGCTGTTCTATTTGGATATTTTGACTTAACCTTTATAGGTAGGTACAACATTTAAATTTTATATACGAAAGTTAACTATTGTAATTTGTTCTTGCGTGTAAGTATAAGCATTATATAGATTTTTTTTTAATTCCATTGAAACTAAATCCTCAATTAAGTTTCAACGGCTTAGATCCTATAAATGTAAGACAGCTAAAACCTATTATATACCTATGATTCAAGTATACAGTTTATTGATTATAAAAATATAATTGTTGTATGGCCTAGAATTCAACAAATTTTAAACTTGAATGCATTATCTTACATTACTATTTTGTAGATGCACTCCTCATGTGTTATAACTCATTTTGTTTTTAAACTGTTAAAAAATTTTAATTTTTAATCTTTATTTAGAGTTAAAAATGTATTCATTAACTGATACATCTATCTCTAGTTATTTTAGTATTTTTTTAGTAGTTTTTAGTATTTTTGATTTTATAAACAAATACAATTATTAAATAGAACCTCGTCTATTTTGTAAATACTATTACACACTTTTCACCATTTTATACTATAACATTTCTTTCTTAAAATTGGCATCTGTCCATTTTTTAATTTAAAATATTTTTCTTGTTTATAATTTTAATTATTATAATAAAAACTTCTTAAATATATATTATTATATACAAATCTATTAATGTTCAATTATATTTCTAACGCATATTTTAGAAACAAAATACATTATTTTTTTTTTTTAATCAAACTAGTTTTTTATAATTTCAACTGAAAAAATTTAAATTCATACAACTTATTATACTGTATTTAATTATAATTATGGTATTGTTAAGATTTTAAAAATTCTTAGCTTAAAAACAGTTGATTTTTAAAATTTTCAGTAATTTAACAATAAAAATTACCTAACTTTTTATTTACCTATTTGTATTTTTTTGTGTAAAAAAAGTTTTAACTCATTTTAAATATTTATTCTTGTTTCAGGTATTTATTAATCTATCTGTAATTCAACTGTCTTAGTATCAGCATTAAATTCAAGTCATTTGAATTATTGATTATGTAAGTATTTGAATTATTCTCATATTACAAGACAAATAATTGATTTTAGTTATGGCATCAACATCTCTTGCAAAACAATTGCAAAAATTAAGTGCTCCTCAAACATCAATATTGAGTTTGGGCCACAAAAAAACCTCATTGCTTATTCAACCTCAAGATATAGGAAATCACGATTTGTCAGCATTTTTTGAAGTTGGCCTAAAAGGTTTTAAAGAGCTATGTGGTATCAATACAAAATTTCTCAAATTTAAATCAACATTATTTAGCCATTCGTGGCAAACTAAACAAAGAGCAATTTTGAATCTGTCTGAAAACCAAAATATTGATTCATTGATTGAAGAATTTTTATGCTTGTTATCTCCTTATTTTAATTCAAAACCAGCATTATATGCTCTTGAATGGCTAGTACATCGATTTAACATTGAACAATACAATACAGATATTTTACTTGGCTATACTTTACCATATGTTTCAACCCAAGTATTTACAAGGTTAATACAAGTTATTCCTCTTAAGAATAACCCTGAAGTTGCAAAAAATTGGTGGTGGTTAACTAGATCTAAAAAAACTGGTGTTCAAATTAATGAACAAAGTTTTATAGCAGAAGCAATTAATGATACAAGATTATTAAAACTCATTTGTTCTATTGTTGTTAAAGTGATTGATGAACATAAAGCTGTTGACGAATTAGTTTTAGTTTGGACTAATTTTTATGCCAAACTTTTAGTTTCTGCTTTTATATCGTCCACTATTTCAAAGAATAACTTAATAACAATATTTCTCCCATCAATAATTGCTGGACTTGAATCTGATGCACGACCATACACAGTTTCATCTTTAATAGTTATTGGTGTAATGTCCAAGTATATAACATACACGGAAAAATTGCGATCAAGCTTAGTTAAAAAGATTTTATTAGTTAAACATGAACAACTGTACTATAATAATACTTTATTGTTGAGTGTTATTTTCAAATCTACTAGAAATTCACCAAATGTCAAAGTTCCCAATTCTTGTATTAAATATATGGCTGAACATACTAATTTACAAATTGAAGCTTTTAAAAAACTTTTAAAATCTGATAAAAGCATATTCTATTTACTAACTGTTCGAGATAGCATAATGCTTTCAAAAAAAGATAAATCTATTTGTTCATTTGCTTCTGATTTA